AAAAAAAAAGAAAAAAAACAAATTCGACTCGACGGTCGGGGGAAACAAAGAAGAAACTCACTTCGTGTCCGTTGAATGATTGGAGAACCTTCGTTGACGTATTCTTCGGATGAAACAGCATTGAGGATGTTGTAACATTTGGTCTTGCTTGTTTGTTTTTTTTTTAATTGTTATATTTAATTACTTTCGCCTTTGTCTCGATGAGAGGAGGAAGGTAGGATGTTTCGTAACAAGTATCAGCATGGACTTCTGTCTATCTTGTACAGCTGCGGATCGTCCCCGTTGCAGTTATGGGATATGCACGTGAGTTTGTCTCCTGTATGAAAGTTCGTTAAAATTTTTATTTGTAGTCGTCAAGTTTTTTCCATGCTGTTTGCTTCCTTGCATTATATTTTTGTTAAACTACTGGAATTCATTTTTCTATATCTGACTTGTTTTCCTTAGTAATGAAAGGGGGAAAAAAATAACTTCATTTTGTTAAATTATTGAATGTCATTTCTTTGTTTAATCTATGTTCTGTAGATAAAGAAGACGTTAAGACATTGTATATTAAATTGAGAACTATTTTCTCTGTTTCGTTCAGTAATAAGAAAAAAAAAGTACACTGATAAAATAATACTTTCACGATCTCGAAATATATACTTGAATTAAACATCACGTAATTTCTGTATATATTTTTAAATTCATTTCAAACGTTCCTATACAAATGTTCGAGTAGTTTCGTGAGGAACCGCACTTGCACGAAATATCTCGAAAATTGTTACATACGATCGTAATAATCGGATAATCACACTGGAAACGAAATCAGGTAAAGAACGGTTACATTCGAAGAATAACAGACGACGAGGTGAAGTCCCTGGCTCTGGAAATAGCCGGTACCAACGTCACGACAACGTACATCTTCTGCCCACGTGCTCCCCAGAAAGCCCTCGGCATTAAACTTCCATTTCTCATCATGATTATCAAGAACATGAAGAAGTACTTCACGTTCGAGATAACAGTAAATTTTTTCATGAGAACGATTTGGTACTCCTTTCTTTTTTTCATTGTGTTTCTTTCTTCATAAGAATAATAATAACCAGACTGTGGACTTTTACGCATTTCATTGGATATAGGATCGGAGGTGTGAAAATTCATGAAAAAATTATTTACATTGGTAATTTTATTCATTAATATCTCTATTATAATATTACGCGTTTGTAAAGTTTTGAGAATGCATAGAAATCCACAGTCCACGAGCAATAACATTTCGTAATAGCGTAACTATACAGATAAAGTTAGAGGCGAAGTATGTTGTCGTTCTTGGTTTGGATAGATACTCGACGACAAGGATATGCACAGAAGGTTTCGAGTGAGCAACTTTCAAAGCACCACTCGAGTTCGACCGTTCTGCACGTCAATGCCGTTCGGCCTGTGCTGCGGTTGGAATCAGATTCAATTTAATCTGGCGGATTTCACGCGGAGAGCGTATGGAACAAATTATATCGAGACTACGCGCATCCAAATCCATGCAAACTGCAGGATTCGACGTATCTATTTCGCGGACAGGTAGGAAATTAATATTCCATTTGAAATTCAAATCCGCGCCCAGTGACGCACTATATTTCCATCATTTG